TTTGATGTTCATCACCCCAATAATTCTCAAACTTATGCAGAATTACATATTTACATTTTCTGTAGAATGGTTATCGGCAAGATTAAAAGTGAAGGCTTTATCGAAGTAAGGAAACACATGTGCATTTATTCATTAATTTCGTAGCTACATTTAATGACCTTTACAGCTTTATCAAATAAGTGCCGCTTCCTGGTCCACAAGTCTTTATTTATGATAGAAACTTTACAGAAACTTATAAATTTAATTGTATATATTGCTCTGTAATTGTTGTTTAACACATCATTTTCTAACATCCGTAATAATATTTAACACTCGTAGCTTCTTGAATTCTGTGGAATACTTCCTGTCTAAGCGACTCTTGATAAGACTGTAAAGCCCCATGTAAGTCTCCGACAATATACTGACAGATTTCAAGTACTAGTATCTGCCAAGATAGGCCCTAATGATAAAGGGTACATATCTCCCATCTTATAGAATATCAGTGTCTGTAGGTGTGTCAGTGACTCTATACAGATCTATTACCTAGTATATAGTGAAAAGTCACAGACAACATTTCTGTCATAAGAAACGGTGAAAAATGCACGAGTAACTTTCCATTTTGCTCAATTACATTTTGTTCTAAATTTAATTCTTCAATACATGAAATAGTTCTGTATAAACAAACATTGTATGCCCAAATTAGATTCATCCTCCTATACAGCGATAAATTACTTATAGTTTCATTATACCTCTGCCTGACAACAGTTTTGTTATACATATTAAAGGTTTGTACTAGTTTATGTTTATTGAGATAAGTGATGGGTATTGTTTTAAAATATCTCCCTGTTCTATAGTAATTCATTGCTAGAAAAATTAAGGAAAACACGGGACCAAAACTTCCTGCTAGTTTCAGCATTTTAAAAATCATTCTATCTATGATGTACACATTTTTGTTTGAACCTCTGCTTGCCATTGTGAGAGGTATGCAAATGAGAGACTCTGCAGTACAATATAAAAATCAACATTTGGTATGGTGATTTTTGACAATCGTGATAGTTTATCAATTAAACTCAAATAGAGATAACAATCCAAATGTTGTTCAGAAAGAAAATATGTCTGCAATACTTCATAACTGCCACACAAATCTATATCTGCAGTAGCTATAAATTCTCCCTCAACAGAGGATAACACAAAAGACGTGTCACCTAGGGCTGCTTCTAGGATTGATCTGAGAGTCGGACTTAGCTGTAGACAGGACACACCCATTCTGTAATACTGATAAAGCTGTTGTAAAAGAGACACATGAAGATATAATGAGTAAGGGTACCTCCTCCATTTTTTTTAATTTCTTGGCCTCTGGGCATTTGTTTTAGGTCTTCGGACTCTATTTCTTTATACAAAAAATGTAAGAATTCTCTGAATATCTTCTTCTCTTCTTCTGGATACTTAGTAGATAAATTAAGTATATGGTTATAATGAGGAAGGGTGACTCTTTTAAAATTGTGATAAACTTACTGAATAATCGTAGTGAGCAAGGGTTCCTCCTCCTAAATTTTGCAATTTGTTGCCTAAGAGCCAGAGGTCAAGTAGACCACTAGGCCAAGTAGACCACTGGGCAAGGCTCTATTAATTTATATTCTATTAGTTATTCCCCTTTATTATTTACCTGTGATAATTAATCATTGTGAATAATGTAATTTGAAAGGTCAATTTTAATAAGAGATTTATACAAGGAAGTTTTTAAATAAATACATAATATAAAAAGTACTTTCATTATTCTTAATGGTCAGATAGACTTTTTAATTATAGATTAATTAAATTGAGAATAAAACTGCCTTATATTTTTTTTCATTAAATGTTCTTCATAGACCAAAAGAGGCCATAGTAAGAGGGAATGAGATGGGTTTACCAATAGTGCTCAAGCACTTTTGATTTCTTTAGTTTACAAATTAAAAGTGATAAATTGGGGCAGATACAGATAAGTAAATAGATCTAGTTTAAGATTTATTACAGAGTACTATACTAATTTTTTTTATTGATCCCTAAGCATAATATTTGTTTTGCTTTTGAGCAATATAACTTCATCCATCAGTTTGTTGTACTTCATACTTCAAAGGATTGTACTCAGGAGACCGTTTAGGCCCTGTGGCCTCTTGTTTTTTACTATCAAAAATCAAAACCCTATTTAATGAGAGTGAATACCTCTTGACTTCATTCGTAAAATAGTTTTATACATTTATTGCAAGTTAGCTAGCATATGTACGTGTGATCACGCATTTCGTATGTAAACTTATTTTAAAAACATAGGTCATCAGAGATTACAGAGCTCACCTCAACGAATGTTGTCTTTAAGTAAGGCAAAGTCCCACACTAATCTAATAATCTAGAAGTGTGCATCCCTAGATGCATCATACATGCAAATTTGGTTCAGTTAGGTCTTGGATAGGACCTGCTCTAAACAAATTATTCTGGTCATACATTAAGAAAATGAAGGTCAGATCCAGCATCTGAAGCATCATCCATGCAAGATTGGTCCAGGTAGGTCTATTAGTTGCTTGGGAATGGACCTGTTTCAAAAACTTTAACTTGGTCACTTTTCTGGAAGAGGTAGGTCAGATCCAGCATCCAGAGCTAGTCAGGTAGTGTACATCCTTAGATGTATCATCCATTCAAGTTTGATCAATATAAGCTGTATAGTTATTTTGAAATGAGACTTGCTCCAAGAACTTTAACCTGCTCCAATAATCTTAACCTACTCCAAAAACTTTAACTTGGCAATTCTTTAGCTGACATTGCAGCATCTGAAACCTTGACTGGTACAATGAAACATACTAGAAGCATCTTCAATGCATCTCTGATTAATGTAGGGCATAGAAGTACTTGAAAAGAAATCTGCTCAAAAAACTTTAACTTGGGACGCTGACACCATCGCTAAGTTGGGGTGAGCTAAAAATCATGATTAGTTTTAAAATAAGTCACACACTTTATACCACTATTATATGGTGTGCTAAAAGGTACATTCACTCCCTTACGTCATTGCATTAAAAGAAACATAACGATTACCCTTACTAATCTCTCTCTCTCAACGAAATGAGTTCTTAGACTGTCACACTTCAAAGGAAAGCAGAGTGTTAATTGTTTTTATAGCAGTTTATCTTTATTAAATATTGAATAAACTGTTATTTTTCTAATTGATAGTAAGAGCTCTGTAAGATTACATTGGTTCATAGAGAATAGCCAGAACCCTCACACCCAGTTTCAGAGATGCAGATTAAACTGTGAACGAGGACCATTTAATTTTGGTGTATGTGACCTAGTGTTGAATTAACGTAGTTCTCCACAGAATAGCATGCATGTATTAAGATCATTGCGTGCTTAAGGAGTTTAGATATAAATATTATCATCCAATAACTGCCATCACAGTGCATTCCTTTCCATTAACTTCTTAATTGATAAAATTGTGAGTCATCAATAAAGTATTTGCATTTCACAGTATCAAAATATTTAATTATTTAAGTAAATATATGTGAATTATTGATAATCTTTTTTAAAAGTCACATTTTAAGAAAATTCAGTTGATGGCTGCAAATCTAAAGTTATTTGTAATAATTACATAGAGAGAAAAATCGTTGAATAATCGTATTCTAACATGGATTACATGGAACTACCTATACACCATGGAAGTAACCATGAACAAATGTTAAAAATCAAACAACCTTGTCACAGGCAATTGGGGTATGGCGACTCCACTCCCGATTTAATACGAAAAAAATGGAAAAGGAGGGTGGGGGGTCCATACCCCAGGTGCCTGTGAACCTTGTAACAATTTATGAACCTACATTGTTCCGCTGTGTGATCAAAAACCTATAAAAGCTTTAGCAGACGTATCAAAGATGTCACGGAAAGATAAATTTTAGTTCAGAGAGTTTTATCACCTTCTAATTATGTGTTGAAAGCAATGGCGGTCATTATTTATGTAACAGTCAAATTTGATTAAAACATGGAATAAACTGTCACTGTTTTAGAAAACACACTAATTGACCAATACCTGTGACCCAATTTGAAAGAATTTGCGGAAGTTTGATGCAGCCACTGTGTGCCACATATTCAGTTTATCAGAATCTATCAAGATTTATTCATACAAGAGCATGCAGGCAGTGTTTTGTGATTAGAACAGACGCATTTATTCACATCAGCATGTTATTAAAGTACAATAATTATGGGTAATCATTTTTTTTTAGGAAAAAGAGTTGCTTGAAGAATTGGACCAGAAGATTAACATGTCTAAAGAAATTAAATAAGTATAATATCAATCCTGAGATTTAATTAATAAATAATGTGATCTTCACATGACTTGTTCAATTGCAAACAATCAACATTTTAAAGGAATATTTATTATTTTCTTAACTTCTAGACCATAATATCAAATATTTCAAATATGAAAGATCAGGCCGCTAAGTGACCTCTAAAATTTAAGCGCCATCTAGCTCCTAATCAAAACAATTTAGTCGCCAATGCAAATTTTAAGTCACCAGCAAATTTTTCTAAGGCGCCAATTCGAAAACTGACATTAGTCAACATACCCTTACATAATTTAAGACTTCTTTTCTCCTCTTTAGAAAAAAAAATATGGAAAAATATTTATAGTTCCGGAATGACGATCCCCAAGTCAATTTGAAATGGTCGCCAATTTGCCGACTTATAGAAAAAAAATTAGGCACGAATCAAAATGTTTAAGCGCCATGGCGACTAAATCAGTCGCCAATTAGAGCCCTGCTGATACAATCTCTTTTATATGTATATATTTATTTGTCTGTTTTTGAGCAGATTTTAATGGCGATTCAACAAGATTGCGTGCGTAGATTTAGCCACAGGAGTCATGTTGAACACTGCACTAGATAGTACTTGATAGCAAAAATCAAGCTAAAAAAAATCAGACTCCAAAGTTTGACTCCAACTCCACTCCATAACTCTAATCCATGAATTACACGGTCACGGTGTCCTGAATTAATATACTTTGCTTACATGTTTAAATTTCTGTGTTCATGTAAATGTTGTTTTACACTTCGTATTCTAATATTTGTAGCTTCCTGTATTCCGTGAAATGGCTCCTGTCTAAGCGATTCTTCATAAGACTGTAAAGCCCCGTGTAAGTCTCCCACCATGTGCTGACAGATTCCTAGTATCTGCCAGGATATGTCTCTGAATTTTAAGGGAACATATGTCCCATCATCATAGAGCAGCAGTTTCTGTAGGTCTTTCAGTGACTGTAAACACTGATATTTATTACCTAGTCTATAACGAGATAATACTGACAACATCTCTACTGTAACTAAAGGTGATAAATATAAATATGACTCTCCGTTGTGTTGGCTTGCTTTTTGTTCTAAACATAATTCTGTAATACATGGGATATTTTCAAATAAAAGCACATTACTTATCCAGGCTATCTTCATCCTTCTTGTTATTGATAAATGACGTAAAGTTTCATTGTATCTCTGCCTGTCAGTGGTATCTCTATACATATTGACGGACTGTGACATTCTTTGTTTAGTGAGAACAGTGATATGGAATGTCTTATCATATTTCCCTGTTCTGTAGTAATACAATGCAAGATAAAGTAAACAAGACACAGGCCCTAACCTTGATGCAAGTTTCAATATGTTACAAACCATTCTATCTAAAATGTAAACACGTTTATGTATGAAACATGAAGTATTGTTTGCAATTGTGAAAGCTGATCTAACGAGAATGTCAGCGGCACAATAATGAAATGTCAATGATTGGATTGGCGAGAGTGATAACTGTGATAACGTATCAACTGATTTCAAGAAGAGATAGGAATGCGATATATGTTCAATATGAAATGTTATTGTAGATAGTTCAAACTTGCAACACATATCTGTCGTTGAAATATCTATCATTTCTCCCACATCAGAAGATAATACAACGAACGGGCTACTGAGAGCTAGTTCTAGAAATGGCCTGAGCGTCGGACTAAGCAGAAGACAGGACACACCCATTCTGTAATACTGATAAAGCTGTTGTAAAAGAGAATCGCGTGCATCACCGACTACTTTGTTTTTGAACATATTGTTCTGTGGAACAAAAAAATTAGGAAACACTCCACGATAAACACAGTGAATAAGATATTTAAAACACTTCCAGAAGCAATTCAATAAATTGTTCGGGCACCATCTAAAATGTCCAAGTTGTATCATCCAGAACATCGTGGTCTTCAAGTAATATGAACACAGTAATGGTTCCTCCCTGTGATTGATAACTTCCTTTGAAAATATTTTCAGAAGTCCATAACATAAAAATTGTGTATGATTCATGTTATACACTAGTTGTTGTTCGGCTTGAGAAAACGATAATCTCCATTCTAATTCGTTAGAAGTCGATACAATTTTACTTCCAATCGGCACGCAGTGACATCCATTTCTTAGAATTTTTTCCATCACAGGTGCAGACGGCCAAATATATCTCAGACATCTGTCAATCCAAACATTGAATGTCTTTGGCCAAAATAAAGTGGAAAAACATATAGCATGATCGAATTCTATAGGTCCATAGAAACCGCTCGTGCAAGGACCATGATTGGTGAAATTCTGTGTTTGGTTACGTTTGACCTTCGAAAAGATCTGAAAATGTCTTTCTGTCCACAAAGAACTAGATATGTAATATCCGCCATTAAAGGAAGCAAGACACGAAATCACAAAATCGTTTCGTGTGGATGTCAGAAGCTGTAGTCTGACAAATCCTGGTGGTGTGTCTGAATCTTCAATTAATATGATATTATGTTTTGATGAACTGTAAACTTCAGCTTGAGAGATGTCAGTTATTAATTTATATTTACACCACCAGAGCATTGTATCCATGTCAGATGAACTAAATCTAAATCCCTCTCTATAACTACCACTATTTATTAAAACACATCCTCTTTTATTATAAAAAGATTTCATTATCATCTCCTCCATGTCCTTGACGTCCCTCCTGATGGCCACTTCTGTCGGTGTCCCTATCTGACGACACAGACCACCATACAGGACCTCTGCTATACGGAGAATGTGATCCATTCTGTATATAAAGATTGGTTTATAGATTACATTCAACCCTCATAAAGACAAATAATGTATAAGTAAAGTGTTTGAAGTAACGTGTTTGGATATGCAACATTTTAGCAAGTTTATTTGAGAGCAGATTTATTCAAACAAAAAAGTGCTATATAGTTTTGATTAGGGTTAATTTGTACAATTAAGTCCCACCTCTGTACTTTTTAGATGTCAGTTTTTATACCCTCTTCACATATTGTATTGTTAAAAAATTATTTTGAAATTTTATCAATGATTGTTATCTTTACCCTTTTCATTTTAAGCATTTCTGTACGCACAGGATAAATAACCCTAGGTTGTTTCTAAGTACTATTTTACCTAATTGATGTCTCTCTGCAAATGGCGACCTCTACGTTATGAGTTGAAAGGAAATACATGGCACATCTTCTTCTGTTATCTGTTTAGGTTTATTCACATATGTGAGATCCAATTAATTTCTACACTATTGTTCATTACTACTATTAGATATTTTATAGGTAAAAGAAAAGAGAAAGAACAAAAAATATCTACACTCTCGATCACTTCTCGATCATGTATTTACAATACATGTAAAATCTTCAAGTGTACAAAATTGGCGCTGATCCAGAAACTTAGATTATTTTTAGATTTTTCTGCAAAGAATAGTAACAGTCTTTTGTTTGAGAATTAAGCTTTTCCCATGCTTGTGAGGGCAAATAACAAAAACGTTTCATAGTATAATATGATTTTGACGATGGCTTAATTACATTGTAAATTTGAAATTTACTGGAGGGGGGGGGGGTTAATGCAAATTTTACAACGTGAAAGTACCTGTTTGATACAGAGGACTGAGATTGGGTTAAAAAAGGGATGGTTTATTTCTCCTAATTACATCATCCAACCTCTAGTGTTTAGGGGTTCGTGTTTTACCCTCTCCTCTGTTTTCATTGTCTATTGGATTTATAAGATTATTATTCATTGTCTTCACCTTTTCCATTATCTCCCCTTTGTGTGAATATCTCAACAAAAGATTTATTGTTTTACATGGGAATCTCTAGAAAATCACCCCATTTGAAAGAAATTTCATTTGGCTTGCCTCTCACTAAAATTTCAAATTATTTACAACGGATTTTCACATATGCGTTATACTAATATGTGTGATGTAAATGAACATAAAGACGACAGTACTGCATAATATCAATTTCGCTTGCATACATTTTTATTTATGGAATAAGTGATTTGATCGAAAGTCGATTTTATATCCGTTAAATTACATCATATTTCATCTCGAGGAAAATATTTATGAACTCTTGTACCGATCTTTTCATGTACTTAAGAACTATTTTAAAAAAAAAATCAAGCTCTGCATATCAATTTATTTCTTCCGGGTATTTATTTTTTCATTTAATTACCTGTATTTATCGACAGTGTATTTATTGCCCCCCGCTTTCACTGAAAGTGGGGGATATTAATTTGGGTCTGTCTGTCCGTCCGTCCGTCCGTCTGTATTTCTGTCTGTCTGTAACACTTTCGTTTCCGCGCGATATGTCGAGAACCCTTTGAGCTTTCGCAATGAAAATTTGCATGGCAACTCCCTATGGCCTAAAGAGGAACCCTATTGATTTTGAGGTCGAAAGGTCAAAACTCATAAATTCATAAATTCTGTCTGTTTTAACACTTTCGTTTCCGCGCGATATCTCAAGAATCCTTTGAGCTTTAGCAATGAAATTTTACATAACAACTCCCTGTGGCCTAAGGAAGACCTCAGAAGGTCAAAGTTCAAGGTCGTAAATTCATACATTCCGTCTGTGTGTAAGCTTTCGTTTCCGGGCGATATCTCAAGAAGCTTTTGATCTTTTGCAATGAAATTTTATACCATAATTCCCTTGGGACTGTCTCGCCCCTCTAAAAGTGTCACGCCCCGTTTTTTTTTTTTTAAATATTAATTGTATTAAAAGTCGTTTTGCAATATTTTTAGCACAGGAGCATGTGGAGAGTTATTAGTATAATGCAGGTTGTAGGCGGACTTTATCTATTAGAACTGTTTAGTAAAGGCTAAATTTGACACCATGTATTGTGTAAAATTTTGACAATATCGAACGTGAATATAAACATTATATGTGACCTAATGTTTGCATTTAATTTGTTCTACAATCAAGTGCCTCATTGGTCTAGTGGTATGACTCTCGCTTAGCATGTGATAGGTGCCGGGTTCAAATCCCCAACGATCTTTTTTCTTTTTTTTTTGAATTTTTTTTTTTGGATTTACTAAATGATAGTATTCAGCATGTAAAATGAAAAAGTTATGACGTCTGGCTTGTACAAACGCATAACTCATTTTTACAGTGTGATACATGTAAATATCCTATATAAAAAGAATCTTTTAGACACATCTTAAAGAATAAGCAATCAAAGCTTTATAATCATATTGGCTTCAATATACATGTAAACATCTAATAATTCTACATATCCAGGGGGGGGGGGAGTCCGACCCCCCCCCCCAACTGCGCATGCTCTTCTTTTTTCCCTAAGCGGGGGATACAAATTCTTTGAATTAGCTTGTTTTGGTCTCTTTTTCTCTAGTTTGTTTAGACACAGTGTATATAAATCTTGCACAAAAGAGATGCTTTAGGATTGTAATTCGAACACAATTATTAAAAGATGTATTTTTAGCTTTCGACAATCATGTGGAATCATTCTATTTAGAGTTTTACTTGATATTTTCAGAAAATGGGAGAAGATCCCTCTTATTTATCTTTGTTAAATGAATAGCTTTGAGAGGATCATGTACACTGTAGGTACAAAACTATTATCCCCCTTCACACACATCCTCTCACACACACCGGTATTGATGTGGTTGGATATTAATCCCATTCAGTATGGAGTCATGTAAAAGCTTTTATTATATGTATAATTAATAGTCTTCAGAGGCACGATTTACATGATATGTTACTCTGTCTCTTCAAATATTTGCCGCAAATCAGCTTCAATAACATCAATAACCCGCTTTGTCAAAATCCGAACAAGAACTCTGTATATCAAGTATAACGTTCAGTTTGAATGTCCTAAAGAAGAAGCCATTATAAATGTGTAATTAAACATCAAATGTCGATTTAATGCAAATTGATCTGCTGTGTAATACAGTGTTTGTATTTTGTGTGACCTGTAGGTTCATGAGCACGTCTTTCGTTAATCAAAACGCTGTCAAATAATGTTGATTTAGTTGGACAACAGTCATGTTGGTAATTGATGGAAAAAATTGCACTGATTAAGTAAGAGACTGTGTATATGACACTTTCCATTCTTTTTTTTTTATTAATTTATTTTTATATTATCTCTTATATATTCAACAAGCTACTTCTGACCTTTGAGGGTGCTTCTAATATACGTGAGAAATATTCATCACACTCTTACTTAAGTGATTCTGAACGGAATACACATAAAACTTAATTACATTTAAAGTAAGTAATTATAAATTCATCGACAACTTTTAAATTTATAGTTTTATTCTGCAAATTTCTTTTCACAAAGAACGATTTACATTTTTCCATTTTTTTTCAGGAGACAATTCTTTTTCATTATGTTTATATTAGGCAAGTTCCACTTTATTGTCAGACAATTAAAAGAAAACTCTGAATGATAAAAGTATAGCATTATTCCAAAAAACTTACAACATCAGAAAATCAAGAAAAATTCAAGAAGAACTAAGATTAATCTGTGTAAAATCTGTTCTTTTTATATGTTGCTGAGATCCTGATTTTAGAGAGGTAAAAATCTTCAAAGATTTGTTAACTGATGTTTATGGTGGATAATGAAAATATTTAATGGATATATGGGATAAGTAACAAGGAAATGGTAGAAATCACAGGTGTAATGGATTTTAACTTAGAAATCAAAAAGTGATGCTGTGAATTTTTGGATCATGTTCTTAGAAGGTGATGACGGCATAACGAGAAGAGCTATGAAATGGACATCAACTTGAAAGAGAAAACCTGAATTCAAAATGAACATGGATGGGGACCAATGTTTTCTTAAATAGAATTTTATACCATTTTTGATAAATGTATTAATTATTGAGAAATGTTAATGAAAGGTCAAGAACTGTATTTCTCTCATCATCAATATAATCTAAATAAATTATTTACCAATAATATATCTAGGCCAGTCGGTCCAAACTATTCAAATATTTTATATTAGTGCTGTTCTCAAAAAATGATGCTAAATGTGTTTTTAATGAACATGACTTCGAATGCACATTAATGGTAAAACAAACAGTCATTAGAATTTGAAATGTCGATCAAAATTTTGCATAGGGAATGTTATATGAAACACTGACCACACTTCATCACGTCACATGGGTATCACAAAGGTTAACAATTTGGCATCGTAATAGAAACCGGTAGTGGGGTAAAAATTGGCCGTGTGTGTCCTGACAACCTCAGTTGCGGTTTCTCAACAATTAAATCTGTATTCTTATTATAAACGACTTGTTTTTCCAATAAGATACGTACGTTTAATTATACATTTCTGTACTATTCATCTTCTTAGAGTTAATGTTTTGAAATTTAGTTATTAAATAGTCATGTATGATTTTCAGTTTCCTTCCCTATACAATTCCTATCATAGAAGCCAATAACAATTATAATAATGTAAAAGCACTGCTTCATTAAAGTAATGTTCATAGATACTCTGATAAGAGAGATAACTCTTAATGGCATAAATGTCTGTTATTCCTTTATAAACTTTTCAAGTTGAATGTCTTTTTTGTCCACTTTCGCCTCGCAAACTATGATATAATTGTTTGTATTTTACGTAAGAAATACGTTTCTTTTGTAAAATCATAAAGAAACAATTTATATGAGTGATCAGAGGGTTAATGAACCTTTACAATCGGATAGTTAAACTTCTTGGACAGAAAATGTTTAAATGTTTGTTGTTGATAATTTATGTTTTATTTTTTTGAGGATGTTTTTTAAAAATTATTATTTTTTGAGTTGCCGTTTCTA